ATAGTCTTTCGCACAGACGTTGAGTGAGCGCCGTTTGTCTAGAGATGGGAAGCGAGAAACCGTATCGATATTGGAAAATCATTTATCCCGTCTATCTCGCGTGACGGGCACACCTCGACTTTTGACAGACCCGAATCGCTGCCTTGCCATGTAGACAGCCTAATGCATTGCGCCGGGTAGCTGACTTAGGCTATACGTCAACGTCACCGGGCTTTATGCATAATATATAATATACAGGCGTGGCGCGCCGATATTTTGACACGCAAGTGGCGTGCGATTTGAATTATTAAAAGCTGATTTAGCTTGACGATTATATTTTTCCACTCGCTCGGCTCTCAACACGGGACGCAATATTTTATCGGTATATTGTGTTACAACATCGTTTTAAAAGATACATAGATAGAAAGTGTGCAAGACGAAGTGCAATTATAAAAATTAAAAGCTCATTTAACTTAGCTGTTGCGTCGCTTCGAGCTATAAATGAGAACGAAAGACGTGATACTTTTTTTTTTTTTTTTTGTTACTTTAAATTTAACACTTGAGTGACGCGTTGTTTTTCCATCGGAGGATCATTAAATGATACGTCGAATCAATGATTTCTAAGACCTTGTATTAAAAACGAAAATGAAACAAAAATATCATTCTTTTATTTTCGCACTGCTAATTGAATCACGTTCTATCTCCGAGGAGAAGAGCTTAACCGGGATATTGGGCAACGAGTTCACTCGTGTATTTTTTCTCCGTCAGAGAATTATATTTCATCGTTCTTTCTGTGTGTTATAAAATATATTTTTTGAAATTAACACTCGCGTCACACGGGACTCCGGTTCAATTACGAATCCGAATTAATTCCTCAATCTTAATTAATGCATTAGTTGATCGCGCCACGCGCGATTGTTTCGCGAAATAAAATAAAAAAAAAAAAAGGAATCGAATCTCTCTCCTCGCGCTCGATCGAGCGTATTACGGCGACGCCACAATAATGGCCGATAACGTAATTACGCGGTATTTGCTCACGCGTAAATTTCAATTAAACGAATGCTCCTAGTCGGCTAATAGTTAGACCGTGTTAGACGCGTATGGCACGTTGCCTAATGTAACGAGCGCTAAGCAATACGGAGACATATGTGCGAACCATCAGAAGCAATTTGCTTCGGAATTTAATTTTTTACATGGTGTTTTTTTATTTTCTTTTCAAAGCGAAGTTGCGACAGAGAGAACACGTGAGTATGATATTTGTTACTTTTCATATTATGCAAATTGTAACACTGAAATCAAAAGAATAATAAAACAACCAATATATATGGGGTAATCGCAAACGCAAATGATGTTAACGGCGTGTAATTTCAGAGAATTTCGAACATTTATGAATATTATATAAATTTTATTAATATTACACAAATTAAATCAAAATTAACAAACTTTATTCGCGAGGTTCAAAATCAATTTGTTCGTCGCGTAAGGTCTTCTTGAAGCAGTTCTGAACTTTATCGAAGGACAAATATCTTTTTTTTTTTTTTTTTTTTTTTTTAACTCCAATACACTGTGAACACCGAGCATACACGTGTATTTTTTAACCCGTTCGAGTTTTTTGAGAGGCCGACAATATATCACGCAACGTTCCGTTATCTGCAACAGCGTGTTTTAGCTTTTTTTTTTTTTTTTTTTTTGGAAACGTGCTTCCGGCGTTTTCGCAGCGATCTCGCCGATTACTCACTTCGTCTCGCGAAGGCGTGTTAAACGATGTCCTGGCCAAAAAATATTAAAAGCACTTTCGCAGTGAGAAAACACAACGGTATATAGTTCTTCGCGAATAAAAATGAAAGAAGAAGTTTTAAAAACGAAAGTTTCCTTGCGGAAACGAATATGTTTTTTAACAAATATATAAATCATTGTAAACGGCTCTCTCTCTCGCCGGATTTATTATTTTTCTCTTAAGTGATACCAGTTTTGTCCAATAAGACGGAAACGTCACAATGGCTATATACGGAAGAGAACGCGGTGTTTCTCGATTCGACAACTTTTTTAAATCACAGAAATCGCTTTTATTGAATCCTCATATACTCACACATGTGTTCGTTAATGTGAGAGAGAGAGACACGTGATGATGTGTATATCGGATGTTATAAATGTAACATTTGCTAGATGTATTTTCTCTGAAAGTAGGCGGTCTTCTGAAAGAATCCGTCACCTAGATACTCATACATCAGGATATATATGGGTTGTATAGAAATAGATAACACATCAGGCAATATACTCAATACGGGTGGCGCTTCACATATGTCGTGTCTCAAAAGAGGGCTTAGGTGACCTTTGACCTTATTTGATGTAACTTGTCACACGTTATCAATCATCAACAACCATTATCATCGTCAATACATCATCTTCCTGGCGGATATCCGTAGGAGTAAATAAGGTTGGCGAAGTATTTTGCATTCATAGAGTCAACTTTTATCTTAAAGAACAATATTAACAATTTATTCATTTATTTTCATTATATTATTATTTGTTAATTATTGTGAATATAAATTTTTGCAAATTGATCTGATCTCCAGGTAAAAATTTGAGAAAAAAATTTCACATATCCTAATCAAGTTCCTGTGTGATTCTTCTTTTTTTTTCTTTTAAAGATTTGCTCTCGTTTAATAAATGCACAAATCGATTCTTTCTCGAATGGACCGAGAGATTCGCAGGTTGAGTAAGTAACTCGTTAACTCTTCGCGCGGTACGTGTTGTGTTCGCATCAACAAGTGAATTACGTCGTTCGTCGTCGTCGGTGCGAAAAGTCCCTGTTTAGCGGTGACTGTTAAGGCATTTGCGCGCTACTTGACGTACGTTCTTACACGTACATACGCAAGCAACGGAGGATATATATCAACGTATCTCTCTCGCCGACGACGTGTTGTTCAGGCAGGACGTGACGTAGGAAGAGGGTGGCGAAAGGAGCCGTACGGCGCGACGACCCACATTCCGTCGAATTTAATTTCATGCCTTATCTCCGGTAGCCGCGGTACAATGCCTCAACTGGGGCGGTCGCGGGATCTCTTTCTCGCACCGGTACACGCGGAACCGCATACGCGCACGCACACACACACACACTCAGGACGAGCGACGAGCGTTCGCACTGTTTAACGGTGTCATACACACACCATGCATTTTGCTCTTCACCTCGCCACGTTCTATTTATAAACGTTGTCTCCTTTATTCTCCCACAGACAGAAGATTTCTCGCTCTCTGTAATTGCCTGCTCTGCAAAAAAAAAACTCCCTTCTTCTCTTCTGCTGAAAAAACATCAATAAAGCAAATAATGCGATCGAACACTGCGTACACGTTTCCAAGTTCTTACATTTCGACGATTTAATTATTATTGTATTTTAATAATTTTATATTGATTTAATTTATACAAGAGCGCCATACACACACACACACACACTCACACAGAGTTATTTTAGGGCGCTAGCTCCCTGACGTTTTCGTTCTCTTCGATTCTCGCGGCTTCTCAGTGATATTTACAGGCACCTCTATCGCGGCTTAAGATAGCGAATTCGCGCCTGTTTCGTCATTTCTTTCCCGCCCTTAATTTCTTCGCGTTGAATCGACCAATCGCGGCTATCACGCCATTTCATTTCCTATGAACATTACGTTTCTACGACGCAAGCGAGCGGCAATGTGTTGTATGTACCGAGGGTCGATCGTGCGGTACTGGCTATTTCTATCTACACGTATACGCCGACTCAGCGCCGCGGTGACGATTGCTTTATCAGACGTAACGGGAGCTGACTGACGGAACGGGGTGTGCGCCATCGGGGTATCGACTGAATAAAAGAGTCAGTTTTGCGAAGTCTCAGACGCAGTGTCAGACGACGAGAACTATCAGTAATTTTTGTTTATAATAGAGAAAAATTTTCATCTCAAGATTTGTCTCAAACAGAAAATTAAAACTTCATTTCGAAACTTTGCTCTACAAAGACGGAAAATCAACAGAGAACATCACACGCGAATATAAAAAAAAATTAAACAAACATCGTGTCACTTTTTCTGACAAAGACGACCGACTTTTTGTTTCTTAAAAAAAAAAAAAAAAAACTCTTTGAAGCAGCTTCCACGTGTCCGCGTTCACGTCCCTCATAAATAGATACCAAAGTTTAAAATAACAAACCGTTCTTTATCCGTCGTTCGAAATGTTTGGAATCAACTCGGTGTGTCTTTCTCGAGACGACACCGGAGGTGATCGCGTCACACGAGTGTTCTTGTCTCGCACGAGCCCGAAACGAAATCGCCAGCAGCTGTCATTAACCCGTAACAAGCCAATTACTCGGAAGGAGCCATTTGTCTCGGCGCATCCGCAACGTCTAATCTAGCGTGCCTACGCCGACGCATCTAATCGCGCCGCTATCTCGGACTTCCGTACTACCGGTGCGCGGATCAAGAAATCTGTCGGATCAAAATCAGGATTAGATTTAGGAACGGCAGGATTACAGTTGCAGTCTCAATTACGTCTGGACAACTTAAATCATTTATGTGTATATATATATATATATACATACAATCACATACTACAAGATCTCTCAGCAATAGTAAGCAGAAGATATAAAATATATATATGTATACTTCACAGGATAATCGAAATTTAAACAAACTTTCCTGAAAAATCGAGGAAAGTTCTCAAGGAAATTGTTTTCAGAATAAATATCATAATTCTCAACTCAAATATGTGAGGACGAAAACTCGATGCGGTAAATCCGGCACACAACTTGACATGAAATTTGACAAATACGAGCGTTCTGCAGGATGTAAGTGCAACGAGAAAAAAGATAACTCGGAAGTTATCAGTTCCGAAAACGTTTTATTTTAAAATCTTCATCAATCTGTTTTACGCAATAAGAAATAAGAAAATTATATAAAACAAAAATGTCAGGTAGAGTTCTTATTAAATTCCCAAATCGTGATCCCGATTAGTTGCGTGTATAATTAATCGGTGATTGAACTTTTGACGACAGGTCAAGCAACCCCGTACCGGATGGATGGCGGCGGCGGCGGCGGCCGCGGTACGAAGACGATAGAACGACGGTAGAACGTTACCGCTTGCGGCTGCAGCTGCGGCGTCAATCGGTCGCTGCACCTGCAGCTGCAGCGGCAGCGACGGCGATCTCTAACCAGCGGACGACGGAACGATGCAGAACGCCGGCGACTACTACCAAAGAGCGCCGAGATGCTGTCCGGGTAGAAACGGCGGCAGTAGCAGCAACAACAACAACAACAATGCGACGGTGCGCGGCACGGAGCTGCTCTGTTGCTGCTGCAGCTGCAGCACCGCCACTTCCACAAAGACCCCGGGGCTGCTGGCGAGCCTCGGCGTGTGCGTGCTCGTTCTCGGCTACGCCTTGCTCGGCGCGTTCGCCTTCATGGTCCTCGAGGGAGGTGTTAAATCGGTAAGCGAGCAACGTTTAATCAACGACGATTAAGTCATAGTTTGCGCCTCGAAATTCCGACGCTTTATTGATTCCGCTCGACGACCTCTTTGCTCGGTCCTGATTATAAAATAAATGAGAAGTAAATAAAGAATTAAGGTTTAAACTTTTTTTTTCATCACTTGGAATCATCTCCAAGTGAAGTTAGACAAATTAATATTAAACGACTTGTAGTAATTTTTAATTTAATAAGCTGATTTATTAATTAATTTAATTTAATTTAATTTATTAATTTATTCTTTGAAATCTGAATTTTAAATTATCATTTTGTCGATGTTAATCAAAACTGTCTTATGTAACACTATCGTGTATTCAAAAATGCAGGATTCCGAAGTCGCGTCCTCGAAACCCGACGCAGGTGTGCACATTCTACCAAATCTGGAGAACGATTCCGCTACAATGGAGCTAAGAGCGCGCACCGTCGAGAAGCTCTGGAGCATCACCGAGGATCTGAACGTTCTCTACAAGGAGAACTGGACTCGCTTGGCGGCCCGTGAGGTTCTCGAGTTCCAGGAAAATTTAGCCCGCGGTCTCAGGCGCACCTCGTCGGCTTACGAACCGTCATTGCGATCCCGAGATCATCACGCGGACAGACGCTTGCACAATCGACGATGGACGTTCAGCGGTAGCCTTCTGTACTCTCTGACGCTTATCACAACCATAGGTTCGTTGAAACTCTATTTTGGTGGTTTTATTCCGTTTCCGCGTCGATGACGTTCGAACTAAAAAAAGATCGTTTCGATTTTCCATCTCGTTCGTCACACACGCGTCATCGAGAAACCAATAACGACTATTTTTAACTCTCTCCTTCTCTCTCTCTCTCTCTCTCTTTCTCTTACTAAGCTAATTGTAAGAACAAGCGCTCATTCTCGCAATGATCTCGTTTTCAGGATACGGTAGCGTAGCGCCGCGCACGGTCTGGGGCCGACTGATTACAATAGTTTACGCCCTAGTTGGAATCCCGCTGATGCTGGTCTACCTCAGCACGGTGGGCGACGTGCTCGCGCGTAGCTTCCGTCGTCTGTACGGACGCGTATGTCGACGGCCGCGTAACTGCGCCCGGAAGCAACAACCGCCGCCGCCGCCGCCGCCAGTCGGCGGTATAATGGGCAAGGCGTATCGTTACGACAACCACGTGGAGACCAAAACGGGTAACTACTACTCGGCGAGCAGAGAGAGTTCCTGCGACGACCTCGGCATTCGCGGCGCCGGCAGCGCTATTCTTCTTGACTGCGGCAGCGAGGGTCTTCTGCACGCTACCACCAGCTCGACAGCCGCTCTTCAGGTGACGTAAACAATGTGGAAAAGCGCTCAATAGGAGCTTCCAAAATCTCGAGTCTCTTTGATGATACATTATCCAAATCGTCTTCGTTCACCGAAACAGGATGTAACAACGGGCAACGGCAAACGGCACTTCCACCCGTGCTCGCTGTCCTTATCGGCAACCTCGTCGCCGGCGTACATGCTGGAAACCAATCCGGTTAGGATACCGATCAGCCTGTGTCTGGCGATAATGCTGGTGTACATATGCGGCGGTGCGGTCATGTTCAATCGTCTGGAGGGTTGGAGTTTGCTGGAAGGCGGCTACTTCTGCTTCACCAGCCTGGGCACGATTGGTTTCGGCGACCTGATGCCAGTCGGACGAAACGCGCCCTCGGCTACTTTGGAGGAGCTAAGCCTGTGTGCCTGCTCGCTGTACATTCTCGCCGGGATGGGCCTGATCGCCATGTGCTTCAACCTCGTCCAGGAGGAGGTGGTACGCGTGGTCAGGGTCTTCGGTAGAACCTGCGGCATGTCGTCGGGCGTGGTGGTCGGACCTATCGGTAGTACAGGTATCCCTGATGAAGGCATTCGGTGGGAAAATCAGTAATGGAGAATCTTCCATGAAAAAAAAAAGTAAATGAAAGGAAGAACGTTGTGACATGTTGATTATTTTGTCGACCATCGCGCATTATTTGCGTTCAGGGAAACTGAAAAAAAAACTATTTTATAAATAAATAATCATCTCTACTTTGATTAATTTGCCAAAAACTGCCGTCATTATCGATGACAACCGCGAAGAAACCGAGAATTTTTGAAAGCTTTTACGGAAGGAACAGCAATTATGCAATATTTGTTTCCTCTTCCTCTTTGCAGCAGGCCCCACTTCTGGTCTCAAGGCCGATCTCGACGACGGCGGCGGCACCAGCGATTCACGACTGTCCGAACAGGAGGAGGAGGCGATCGCCATGTCAATGGTGCCGGCCGGTTCCTGACAGCATCAGGCCAGGAGCCCCGGTGACGGCAAGCTCCTGGCCCACTCGTCTGCCACTGCCATGAAGTTGTCGCCTGGCCATCACACACTACCGCGTAAAAAGACGCTGCCGCTGGACACCGTCGGGAGGACGACATCGTCCTCGAGCACAAACGCGCAGCAACAGCAGCAATTCCAACGCGGACAGCCATTGAGGAGGAGCTGTCTGTCGCCGACGCAGTATCATCATCAACAGCAGCAGCAGCAGCAGCAACAACAACCGCCGCCGCATCATCATCAGCACCGTCAGCAGGAAAGTTCGTTGCACTTCGAATACTTCGTGCCGCGCAGCGTCAGCGAGTTCAATCTCGCCGCCGCCGTGACAGACATGGCGGTACCACCGCCGCCCCCTGCATCGGTGCTCAGGCCGTCCTCGGCGATCACGCCGCCGGTCGTCGCGGGAGTAGCCGCCACCAACAGCCAGACACGGTTGCTAGATACGAGCGGCGGTGGATGCAACACCGCTACTCGGAGTCGTGAGAAGATGGTGACATTTGAAGACGAGGGGGTCAGCTGCGGCGCTACCTCGACGCCCACCAGGAAGAACTTGCCCACTCTGGACAACGTCTTTATGTGACGTGCGCCGCGACTTTCACGGATACTGAAGCGATTATTGCAAAATGTCAGGTCGTTGCGAAAACCTCACGATTCAAAAAAGAAACGAGTATTGACACTTTCGATCGTTCATCGATAAGTCGTCGAGAAAGTGTCCTTCGTCATCGTCGATAACAGAAAAACAAAATTGATTCAGAAATAAACAATGCTCTGATACGTCGTCGTATAAAAAAAAAACAATAGAAAATTTATGCAAGCAGAAGAAGCACTCGAATAATTTTATATCGTGTAACGATACATACACCAAATAAAAAGATTGTCAGTGTTATGATTTATATGTAACTTCCGATTAAAACAGGACACATAGGAGAAAAAATAAAAAAAAAAAAAGACAAACCCACAAGAACGATCACACTTACAAGACTGCATGCCTGTAATAATTACAATAACGTGGAAACTAATATAATAAAGACACCGAATATCAAAAATAATAGAATGTGGAGAGGCTCTCAGCAAGTAATGAAAACAAATTCTGAATCAGAATACAGGAAACAATTTAAGTGACAGGATTTTTATTCAGAAGCTGTTTGATGTGACTTTTCGGCACTAAAGACTTCTTTCTTATCATCGTAAAAAAAGAGAGTGCCTAACTGATAATAGAATTCTAAACAACGCAAACATTCAAGAAAGAAGATAGACAGACAGACATTCTCTGGATATATTTTAGATGTTCTTCAGCATATATATACGTATATTTGTATTGTTTGAAATTCTTTTAATCTGTAAGATTTTTTAAAAAACGTTATAAATCTAGTAAATTTTCTACTGTCACTACGCAATATCACGCAAAAAAAAAAAAAAAAAAAAACACAAACTGCACGAAGCGAGAAATAAAAAACAAATGGCAAATATAAAAAAAAAAAACTCTAGAAAGTCACGGAAAAAAATAAAAATATAATCACGGGAGAGACATTCCGCGATAAAGAGTAGAAGTTCTTTTTCGGTCGAATGTCGACGAATGTATATGTTTCGTATTGTCGATTAAACTCATAATTATCATTATTATATATATACCGTTTGCGCGCACACACACAACATAGGATATTTGTCAGAAATGCGAATTTTATGTCCGATTAAGTCCGACTATGTATTTCGAATATAAATAGCTGTATATATATACATACGTATAATATTTAAAAAGTATATTGAACATTCAAAACCTTATATACAATTAATAATCGTATACCAAATATATATATAAATAAACAAAGTTATATACAACATATGTTTATTTACTATTACTTATTATTTTATTTTGTCATAATTTACGCACAGTCGAAAAGCGTTTCCTCGTTTTCAAAAAATTCTTTCAAATAGATTCAGGTTCTACGTTTTTGATAACACATTTTAGACGTCAGTCTGCTTCCGCGGCATTGACGAATAATCAATACGTATGACTGCGCGAAATCTCTTCAACTTTCCCATCTTTCGTTGATTACAAAGAGTTGCGTGAAAATTTGCTTTGTTTTTTTTTTTATACTTGTGTAATTAATACGTAATGATACTTGAGGCGTACGTCAGTGATGGGAATTCGAGCTCGCGCGCGCTACCGTTTTTTCACCTATATTTACGTACACATAGACGCTTCTATCTGTCGGCGCTACACGCCGAGTTACATGGATAGATCGAGCGTTTATGTGTGCGTAAGTAGATGGAAGAAAAACGGTAGCGTGCGCGGGCTCGAATTCCCATTATTGCCGCGTGCACGAAAGCAAAATGTGAAACAAACATAAAAATTTACATCTTAGTCACTTTATTGCTTTTCTCGGTTATGACCGAGATTACAAGTGATAACAAGCTAGGTTTTCGAATATATTGTTTCCACCACGCAAATTTCAAAACAGCTCAGATCAGCGAAGAAAACAACACGTACAGAACTAAATCTATCTCTTGAATTTGATTGGTAGATTTTTGTTTCGGAGAGGACGGAAGAAATAGAAGAGGGATGTTGCCGAAATCAGTTTCCATCAGTTCAACGTATACTTGATAGTCGGCTTTTGTCCAGTGTAGTTATTACTTGTTACCTTTTTCTTCGAAGATGTTTATCTGTTCGTATTGTTCACTGGCCTTTGCTACGGAAGGAGTACTTAATTTTCATGTTAAAAAATGTCGCAAAATAACTGAAGGAATAAAATCGTCGCAGGCGGTAAGTTTTTGAAAGTAATGGAACACGATGAAAATCTGATCTAATAAACGTGTTGCGTTACTAAAATCATTTCTTGTCGTTTAAATCAAACTGTGTTGTTGGCTTTTGCCGAAATATATTTAAGTAATCTTAGGTATCTTCTTCGAAGTTGAAAGTATGTAAATATTGTTCTGTAACTATACCGTCGAGAATCTTTGTCACACATAGCAATATGTGTAAACTAAAAAAACTAAAAATCTGTGAATATTGTTCTGAAGAATTCACGACTGTGGCAGAACTCGTCTACCATGATAATGCGTGCAAAATTAAGAAATCTACCTTGTCGGTACATATCTCAAAAATATTTTACGAGGACGAAAGCGTTGTTCTGATAGAAAACTTGTATTGCAAAAATCATTTTCTATCATAACAACGTACTTCTTAATCGGTTTTTGCGAAGTTATGTATTACTTGTCATTTTCCTCTTGAAACACACACACGCACACATGCTTTTCTTTATTTATCACAGGAATCCGGGCCCGAGGACTTCCTCACCAGTGCTAATAAAATATTTTCAAATATAGTAAGTTTTTCGAAAATATTAGAAAATAATAGAAACTTGACATCTAGTAACAGATTCGCTCTGCCGAGATTGTTTACGGCGAAGAGATATTCATTACATTTGCGAAATATGACTAATGTTCGTTACAATCTTCTTTGAAGCTGGAAATCTGTGAATATTGCTATCAGAATTTTGATACATCGGAGGAACTTGTCGCGCACAGAACAATATGTATAATTAAAAATGTGCACTGCATGTTGGTGAGTATTTCAAAACTATTTCACGATGACGGAAATGCGATGTTTTAATAGACGACTTGTACAGTCAAAATTGTTTTCTCGCTGTACTTTATAGTAGATTATTGTGCAGTATAACAGATGTGTATAATATTTTTTTCTTCTTTTTGAAAAAAATTTCTGCTCTTCAATGAACATCGGGACGTAGGATAAACTGGCCAAAATTGATTTAACACGGAGTGGCAAACAGCCTGCAAAGATATTGGTAACTTTTGGAAAATGTTATAAAATGATTGATATTGATCTGATGGATAAATAGTTTCCGCAAAAATCAGTTTCCGTCAATTTAATTAACTTGCTAAGTAACTTTTCCGCATTATAGTTGCGTAATATTTTGTAGACACCTTCTTCTTCGTTATCAACGTCAAGTGACCATTCTGAACAGAAATCTAATAAAGAACGTAACTTGAGCAGTTTTGCTGATTTATATCATGCCATAGATTGCGCACTGGTAAGTTTTAGGAAAATTATTAAGAATCAACAGAGATTGGTGTAATAAAGAGATTGGCGAACGGCAATCACTTTCCGTCATTTTGTTGGGTCTTCTTCTCAGATTTTATGGAGTATTGTAATGGAGTAGTGTGTAATATTTTTCAGATGCCTCCTCCTACAACATCGGTGTCAAAAGAACTCAGTGTACAAAAATATTCAAAAAAACGACTATTCGACACTTCTGATACAGATCGTTCCAACAAATGTAACGTCAACTTAGTAAGTAAGATTTTCGAAAATAATAGAAAACAAAGTGCAATCTGACGGATAGATTGCTCTATTAAGGTCATTTTCTGTCATTATAAAAGAAGTAATAGTCAACTATTGTAATATACTAATACTTGTTAGGAATTAACCTCTCCTCCGAAGATTTTCCGTTTCGATGACAAAAATCAAAAAAAGATTGAGAAGAATGACACAGAGCAAGAAATTGCCGCTGATAATATATGTCATATCGCTACATCTGTACTCAAGCTAGTAAGTTTTTAAAGGCGTTAGAAGACAATGATTTGGCAAAGGATTTGCTCTACCAAGATCATTCTTTGTCACTTTAACAAGCCTATTAGTCGGCTTATGTCGAATACATTTGATTACTTCTCGTTACTAGGCGCCCTGTGAATATTGTTCAGTGAGTTTTGAGACTGAGGCAGAACTTCTTGCACATAGTAAAATATGTGATGCGAAGAACAATCCGTACACAAAAGTAAGTTTTTTGAATTTGTTAAAAATATAATAGTGAAGCACTGATCTAAAAAGAGATTGCTGTGCGGAAGTTATTTTCCGTTGTTGTAACAAAGTCGATCGTCGGCTTTAGTGGTGTTGTACAAACATTATAATTATTATCTTCTTTTTCAAAGGAAACGTTTGAATGCATCAACTGTTTATTAAAATTCCAATCACTGAGTAAACTAACAATTCATATTTCACAGTGTTTCAAGAAAAACGACCAACAATTTTGGTGTCCGGTAAGAGGATTTAAAAAATATTTATTAGAAGTAGAATAGGAGTGTAGTAAACTTCAATAAATTCTTATAAAACAGGAAATGTATAATGGTCATTTGAAGCAAAAACACTGGTGATAACGTGTGTATGATAGATGCATTACTTTATTCAAGCAGGTAACATATAATAGAACGTTTTCGGCCTTAGATTAGGCCTTTATCAATATATATCTATGTATCAATATATATCAATATATATCTATATCAATATAGATATATATTGATAAAAGCCTAATCTAAGGCCGAAAACGTTCTATTATATGTTACCTGCTTGAATAAAGTAATGCATCTATCATACACACGTTATCACCAGTGTTTTTGCTTCAAATGGCCATTATACATTTCCTTTATTAGAAGTATTAGATTCATGCACATATAGATTTTGTCTTAGAGATAGTTTATGATAAATATTTTATGTTGTAATTATATAGTTCGTTACTGTTTAGTTTGAAATATTCTGTATAGATTTACGAGCGCATTTCTAATCCATATTATTTTGTTTGTGATATTAATATAAGGACTGCGGAAATCTATTCTGGACCATTCACAAGCTTGCAACACATAAGACATTTTATTGTGAGAAAAAAAGCCAACGCCAATTAAAAGCAATAGGAAAATGGAATAAATTGTAATATAAATTCACTCACTGCGTCATATTTTCCAAAAGGTACTGTTTTTACATAAAGTTTAGTTGTGCATTCTGTTATGACATATTATTTAATTGTACAAGAACAGAAATAAAAAAAATATTTAATTATAAAACTGAAGTAATACATGTTACAGAAAGAGAGAATAAAATGAACGAATGATAGAAAATACAAGATGCCAAGTGATAATTTTCTTTTGCATACACAATCTTAGAACATAACTTGCAAAAAAGATAACAAACAACGAAAATTGTGATTGCATATAACGATCATCTTGACAATTGGATTTAAGTATTATTTTACTAATGTTAGTTTACGATTACGTTTTTTTATGTTTTGCTTGATAATAATTTTTGACAAGTACACGTTAGAAAACAGACTTCAGGTGTCTTTTTCTAAAGAGAGTTTGTATAGAATAAAAAATGTAATGTCTTTTACTATTTTGATACTTGATTCATATTGAATTTATTAATAAAGTTTTTTGTACTACTATATATATTTTTATTGTACTCTGTTATTTTCCTTTTTTCTGCGCTCCTAATACAATCTATTTTATACATATACTGAAATATGTATTTATATTATATTATTCAACCTTTAGTATTGTACCACACTGAAGTCGTATAAATTTTGATACAACTAAACTCTTATGTTGCACTACTTAGATAAAGTTTTATACTAATTTACATATTGTGCGTGAAACGCGCTTGTACACTTTTTTCAATTTTATAATAGTATACATGAAAAAAGAACACAATTACATTTATCTTTCTCATGTATATNAACTATAAATAAACAAAAGTACATCCAATAAATATATNNAATTTGTTACACGTACGTATATAACAAATGTATTGACATATAAACGGAAACACGCTTAGTAGTTTTACGAATTTTGCTTTGTTTNTTTTTAATTACATGCGTAATAATTCTTGACTTGCGTGACAATAAAATATAAAGTAGAAATCAATTCACATTTCTGCCGTTGGTTTGCTTTTCTCGCGTGTTCATCATATTAATTGTAAGTCCTAACAGCTGTTTTGATCTTTGTTCTGAGGATTTCGATTATGTTGTTTCAAAACAACTCATATTGTTCCAAAACACTTCAGACCAGCAAACAGAATAAGCATGTAAATCAAAATCGTGATTTCTATTGGATATTTCTGATCCAAAGATAACAAAAGAAATAAGAGGGGGATGTTGTCAAAATCATTTTCGATCACCTTGATCACTTCAACGCATTCGATAGCCAGCTTTCGCTCAGTGTAGTTGTGTACTTTTGTTACCTGTTTCTTCAACGATGTTTTCGTGTAACTATTGTTCTCTGACTTTTACTACGGAGCAAGAACTCAATGTTCATATGGAACAGTGCGACAAAAACACACAACCGCCGATGTCGGTAAGTTTTCGAAAATAATAAAACTCGATGGAAACCTAATTCGATAGAGATGTCTCTTTACTAAAATCATTTTTTGTCGTTTAAAATTCATCTAATTACTTGTAGGAAACAAGTGATTTGGACTTATATATTTGTGAATCCTGTACTGCGGATTTTGAGACTGCAGAAGAACTTGCCATGCATGAAAAAACGTGCGAAATGAAGAAACTCACAGCAACGTTGGTACGTGCTTAATTTAAAATTATTTAACGAAAAAAACTATTCTGATACAGAAGTTGCATTGCGAAAATTATTTTCTATTACGTAGTTCTTACTCGGATTTTGCAGAATATAATAATATGTTTTATCTTCTTCTTGAAACATACATATTTTTTTATTCATCACAGGCATTTTATTCATCTCAGCTCGAGGAACTCACTAGAAATCTTAAAATCTCTGACAAAGCGGTAAGCTTTTCGAAAATATTAAAAGTTGATTCAAACTTGATCTGGTACCAGATGTGTTCTGCCAAGATCGATCAGAATCGCTTTAACTGTTTATTAGCTTTTGTGAAATGTACATAAATATAGTTTGTTAGGTTGCTTTAAAGTCGAAACACTGTGGAAATTGTAAGATGAGTTTTACAACGCGGGAAGACTACATTGCTCACAGGCGTACGTGTATAATTAGAAAAGTGAGAAAATTACTGGTGAGTTTTTTATATTTCTAAAATAATATGCGATGAGAGAAGGGAGAGTGTTTTGATAGATAATTTTCACAAACAAAACTGTTTTTTTTTTTTTTTTTTTATCACAATACCGTACTTCATACCAGATTCTTGTGCACTATACCAGATATGTATAATATTTGTTTTTTTTTTTTAAATACGTCACTTTATCCATCATTGAACATCATGGGACATAGCAAAAATTGAACATAAACCTTGAAGAGCGGAGTAAGTCTGCAAAACTAAACTTTTTTTTGCATTATAGTTACGTAAACTATTTTAATAGACATCTTCTCTTTTTTGCCAGAGTCAAGTGCTAGTAGCCCGTATAGCTATGAATCGAAATCTGATGAAGAAAACGTGAGTAATCATGGTCATTTATGTCACGCAATAGATTGTGATATTGTATATTTTTATGAAAAAATTAGAATTACCAGAGAGTGATGTAATTAAGATGAGTCGCAATCATTTTTCGTTGTCTTACCGGATTTCTTACTCGGCTTTTGCGAAATATCGTGTGATACTTTTAGGCACCTCTTTCTGGTACACCATTGACATCGGAACATGATTCTTCTGTACAAACGAACTTGATTAATCCTGTTGATGTAAGTCGCGCCATATGCTCTGCGGTAAGTTATTTGAAAAAAAAAAAAAAAAATTGATTTAATATACTCCGATGTAATAAAGATGTGAGCCGCAATCATTTTCTTACTTGGCTTTTGCGGGATATTGTATAATACTTTTTAGATGCCTCCATCGACGTCAAAAGACTGCTCTGTACAGAAATCTGATAGAAAACGACCCTTACAGACTTCTTCAACTTCTGACTCTAGTCTGGTAACTAAGATTTTTAGAAATAATAAAAAACGATGTGCAATCTGATGGATAGATTGCTCTACCATGTTTTGTCACTATAACGAATATGATAGTCAGCTACTGTAGTATACTAATATTTGTAAAATGTTTTTTAGGAATCTCCTCCGTCGAAAACTTTTGTATTAAGTGAGATGAAACAAGAAATTACCACTGATAGTACAAGTCACGTCGCTATACCCAAGTCGGTAAGTTTTCAAACTTTATTCGAATTCGACAAAACTACGATCTAGTAGAAGAATCGCTGTGCGAAAGTTATTTGTCGTCGCTGCATTCGTTCGTCTGGTTTAGTAAAGTTGTATATTAATAGTTCCTTTGTTATTCAATTGTGCTATTGTATATTTTTTTGAAAAAATTAGAATTAACGAAGAGTGATGTAATTTAGATAAGTCGCAATCATTTTTCGTTGTCTTACCGGATTTCTTACTCGGCTTTTGCGAAATATCGTGTAATACTTTTAGGCACCTCTTTCTGGTACACAATTGACATCGGAACGTGATTCTTCTGTACAAACAAACTTGATTAATCCTGTTGATGTAAGTCGCGCCATATGCTCTGCGGTAAGTTATTTGAAAAAAAAAAAATTGAATTACTATACCCCGATGTAATAAAGATGTGAGCCGCAATTATTTTCTTACTTGGCTTTTGCGGGATATTGTATAATACTTTTTAGATGCCTCCATCGACGTCACAAGACTGCTCTGTACAGACATCTGATAGAAAACGACCCTTACAGACTTCTTCAACTTCTGACTCTGGTCTGGTAACTAAGATTTTTAGAAATAATAAAAAACGATGTGCAATCTGATGGATAGATTGCTCTACCATGTTTTGTCACTATAATACGAATATGATAGTCAGCTACTGTAGTATACTAATATTTGTATGTTTTTTAGGAATCTCCTCCGCCGAAAAAGTGGGTAAGTTTTCAAACTTTATTAGAATTCGACAAAACTACGATCTAGTAGAAGAGTCGCTGTGCGAAAGTTATTTGTCGTCGCTGCATTCGATCGTCTACTTTAGTAGAGTTGTACATTAATAGTTCCTTTGTTATTCAAAGGTTAAGTATCCTCGCTTTCAATGTATCTTCTGTTTACTACGTTTTCACACGTTAGACGAATTAAAAACTCATGTTCCCGAGTGTCCAAAATTATACATTTAGTATTCTTTTGCCCGGTAAGAAGATTTTAACTATTTTTAGAAAAAGTAGTAAGCGCATGTGCATAAAAGTTTTGTCTTAGACATAATTTATAATAATCACTCATATGTAATCATATGTAATCATTTAAGCCGTTACTGTTATGTTTGGAGTATTCTGTACGTAGTAACGAGCGCATATCTAATCCGCAATTAATTCATTTGTGAATTTAATATAAGGTCTAAGAAGAATCAGTTTAGAACAATGTGTGTGACGATTAACACACAGGATATTGTATTGTTGGAAAAGGAGACGTGAATCAAATAAGATAATAAATTGTAACATACATTCAATTCATTGTCATATACAAAATGGTANTATCTTTATATAATATTTAATTCTACAGTCTGTTTAAAAAAGATAAAAAACTTAATTATTTATATCATAAAATAAAATGAAATGNTATGTGTTACAGAAAACGATTGCAGGAAATACGAAGTGTCAAATGATATAGGACCTTTCTTTTTTATTTTCACAACCTCAGAACTTATCTGCAAAAAAGACACAACTGTTGAAAAAAGAATATCACAACAGAATACTTCTAGATCAATAAACGTAAAATAAAATGACGAAAGATTTACAATCAGCTGACATTTTCATCACTTTTGACGACGATCACTTCGTCGATTAGATTTAAGTACATATATTATTGAATATAGTGTACGGTTACAATGTTTTATGATTAGCTTGATGATAGTTCTTTAGTGTACATATTAGAATATAGATCTCAAATGAAAATTTAAAAAAAGCCGTCAGTGTATGTCGGATTCTAATCTTTTATTCAGTTTTTTACTTCACTCTGTTTTATATTCTTAAGTCATTTATACTTAAATTGATGTGTGTATATGTATATCAGTTTGTCCATACGTATATATATATGTATATATACATGTATGTATAATTATAAGTATATAAATATGTATGTGTATATACAT